ACTGCTCTGTCCAGGACCATAAGAAACTACAACTACAGCCTAGACCATCACAGAAGCCAACCGTCCATTCATTGACTCTATTTACACTTCTTGTTGCTGCACAAAGGTAGCCAATATCACCAAAGGACTCTCCCACCCCGGTAATGCTCTCTTCCAACTTCCTCCCGCAGGCAGTAGATACAGAAGCTTGAACACACTCCCCAGTCGGTTCAAGAACAGCTTCTTCTGTGCCATTATTAGATTGATGAATGGGCCTCTCTAATTTCAAACCTAGCATTGACCTTGCTTTTTGTGCACCTCCTGTGTAGCCATAACCTTGTATACCCCACTCTGTCCAAGCATCCTATGATCTGCCTGTACAGCTCGCAAGACAAAACTTTTCACTGTACTTAGTTACACGAGACTACAATAAATCAAAATCAAATCAAAATAAGGGCAGGAATTGTCAAGACAATTAAGAACTATTTAGATGAGCACTTGAAACATCACAACATACAAGGCTATAGACAAAGAGCTGGAAAATTGGATTAGAGTATAGATGCTTGATAACCACTGCTAACAAGATGGGCCAAATGGGGAAGGTGATGACCTAGTGGTATTATTGCTGGACTGTTAATCTAGAGACCCAGATAACATTCTGGGGACCCAGGTTTAAATCCCGCCACAGCAGATGGTGGAATTTGAGTTCAATAAATGGAATTAAGAATCTAACGATGACCGTGAATCCATTGCCAATTGTTGGGAATAAACCCATCTGGTTCCCTAATGTCCTTTAGGGAAGGGAACTGCCATCCTTATCTGGTCTGGCCTACATGTGACTGCAGATCCACAGCAAAGTGGTTGACACTTACCTGCCCTCTGGGCAACTAAGGATAGTAGCGAGAGACGATCTAGCCTCAGATGACGTAGAGTCCACTTGGGCACAGGTTTTAAAAAAAAAACTCAAGGAAAAGACAACTTTGGTGGGAAAAGTGTACAGACCTCCAAACAGTAATCACTTTGTGGAAAAGGCTATGAATCAACAAATAATAGGAGCATGCAAAAATTATAGAGTAATAAATATGGATGGCTTTGCGCCGAGTGTTGATTAAGCAAAGTAGAAAAGGTAGCTATGGCAACAAATTCAGAGAGAGCATTAGGGATAGCTTCCCACAGCAATACATCATGGATCTAGCCAGAGAGCAGGCTATCTTGAACCTGGTAATCGGTGATGCGGCAGGTTTAATAAATTACTTCAGAGTAAAAGATCCCCTAGGAAGTAGTGCTCACAATATGACAGAATTTAATATTTGTTCAAGAGTGAGAAAGATGGGTCAGAAATCACTTTGTTTAACTTAAATAAAGGGAATTACAATGAAATGATGATAGTTAGCTAAAGTGAACTGGGCAAATAGATTAGCAGGAATGACAGTAAGCATGCAGTGGCAGACGTTTAAGAAAGTAATTCATGACTCTCAGTAAAAATATATCCCAGTAAAGAGAATCTATTTTAAGAGATATACCAACCATGGCTAACCAAGGAAGTTAAGATGAAAGAAAATGCATATAAGGAGGCTGAAATCAATGATAGCCTTGAAGACCGGGGCAAGTCCATAATCTTGAAGAAGACTAATAAGATAATAAAGACAGAGAAACTATGAAGGCAAACTGGCGAGGCATATAGAAACTGACAATAAGAGATTCTGTAAACATACAAAAAAGAGAGACATCAAAGTGATCACAGGCCCTTTAAAAAATTAACGTGGGGATATGACTTTGGGGAACAAGGAATTAGTGGAGGAGTTATAAACATATTTTGCATCAGTCTTCACAGTGGAAAATACTTCAAAAGTCCCATTAATACTAAAGATATAGGGAAAGAATTAAATGTCATCGCCAGAGAAGCAATATTAGTCCAACTAATGGGGCTAAAGACAGCTAAGTCTCTGGCCCCGATGGCTTGCATATTCTTGGATCCTAAAAGAGGTAGCTACAGAGATAGTGGGTGCATTTTTTGTAATTTTCCAAAGAATGGTTGGATTCTGGAGAAGTATACCAGTGGATTGGAAAACTGCCAATGTGAGATCACTATTTAAAAAGGGAAGGAGGCAAAAAAAAAATTCAGGTAACTATTGGCCAATTAATCTAGTAACTACTGTTGGAAAGTATTGGAATTAAGGAAGCAATAGCAGAATGTTGGAAATTCATAATCTAATTAAACAGATTCAGCAAGGCTTCACGAAAGGGAAATTGTGACTGACTAATTTATTACTGTTTTTTAAGGAAGTCTCAACCAGAATGGATAGAGGAGAACCATTAGATGCATTATATTTGAACTTCCGGAAGGTGCTCAACAAGGTACCTCACAAAAAGGTGTTGGAGATGGTTTTCTGACACGGATAGAGAATTGGCTGATGGGCAGCAAACAGTGAGCAGGAATAAAGAGTTCTTTTTCAGGTTGGTGACCCATGTCCAGTGGGTTTTGGGTTCCAAAGGGTTCAATGCTGGGACCAAAGATGCTTGCAATACATATTAATGACTTGCAGGAAGGAAGTGAATGTACTGTAACCAAATTTGTAGGCAACACAAATAGGTGGAAAGGCAGATTGCAGTGGGATAAAACAGTTTAAAGAGAGGTATTGATAGGTCATATAAGTAAGCAAAAGTTTGGCAAATGGGGTTTGATGCAGGAAAATGCAAAGTTGTTCATTATGGAAGGGAGAACAAAAGAAGAGTATTCTTAAAATGGAGATAAACTGCAGAAAGCTGCAAAACAAAGTGACTTGGAGATACTTGTATATGAAACACAACTAGCATACAAGTGCAGCAGGTAATCAGGCAGGTTAATGGAATGTTGGCCTCGATTGTAAGAAGTTTGGACTGTAGGGAAGCAGGGAGTAGGGAAGTTTTTCTGCACCTGTACAAGCTGCTTCTCAAACCATATTTGGAATACTTAAAGTTTGGTCCCCTTACTGAAGGGTGTTTTATTGGATGCAGTTCAGAGAACGCTCACTAGAATGATCCTTAGTATGGAGGGATTGTCTTAGGAGTAAAGGCTAAACAGGTTGGGACTCTACTCATGTTTAGAACAGTGAGGTGATATCTAAGAGCCTAATGTTTCAATAAAGGCTTGACAGGGTAAATGCTAAAAGGATGTTTCAGTCATGGGAGAGTCAGAGAGAGGATCAGAGGACATCGCCTCAGAATTAAGGGGTGGAGGGCTGCAGTTTAAGACTGAAATGTGGAAGAATTCCCTCTCTCAGAGAGTTGAGAATCTTTGGAACTCCTTGTCAGAGAGAGCTGTAGGGGCAGGGTCCATGTGAATATTTAAGGTGGAGATAGATTCTCGATCAGTAGGGGAAATCAAGGGTTATAGGAAAAGGGTAAATGGGAAAACCATACGTGCAAGTTCCTCTCCGAGCCATTCACCATCTAACCTTGGAAATAACCTTGGTGTCATTGGGTCACATTCCTGGAACACCCTCCCTAACAGCAATGTGGGCCTACCTACAGAACATGGATTGCAGCAGTTCAAAATGGCAGCTTACCATAACTTTCTCAAATCCAGGTAGGAATGGGCAATAAATGTTGGCTCAGCCAGCAACACCCACATTCTGCAAGTGAATTACAAAATGTGCCTGACATAGATACAGCTTAATTCAAAAGAACTGCTGACAGCTTTTAGACAGAGAATAAGTTTGTTGTCCCATCTCAAAGAGATTGATACATCCTTTTGAAGGCATGAGGAAACCTTTCATTGATCAAAACCTATTCAAATAAATGCTTCAATGGCAGCATGCTTCTGCTCCACCAAACCCTTAATTCTAATTTTTCTTTTTCTTGCGGTTATTCCCTCAACAGCCTTCTCCCAAAATGTGAAACATGTCCCAGTATGGTAAGTTACCCCGACCATTGCATTTACCCAATTTTATTTCTTTGTGTATTGCTCACTCCCTCACTGCTAGAGGCCGTATAGGCCTTTTATTTGCAAATCCTTTTCTCCAACATCAGCCTCTTTGAACTAAGCTTTGGTTACCTGCTAGCCCAAACATCTCAATTACACAGGTCAGGTGCATAATTTTAAAGAGAAAGGCCAGAGGTTTAGAAGAGATTTGATGAAAACATTTTAACCCAGAGGGTGGGGCTGCAGGGTCTGGAATACATTGTCTGGGAGGGTATTTGAGGCAGGAAACCTCACAACCTTTAATAAGCGCTTGGATGAGCACCTGAAGTGTTATAACATTCAAGGCTATGTGTCTAGTGGGGGAAACTGGTAGGGGTATATTTTTGGCAGTACAGACTTCATGGGCCAAATAGCCTCTTCTGTACTTACGATTTTATGATT